ACACACACACACACACACACACACACACACACACACACACACACACCTACCACACCTGGCTTCTGGGTTTTTGTTGTTTGTTTGGTGTTTTAAGACATGGTCTTTCTACATAGCTCTGACTATTCTTGATATCACTACGGCTGGCCTTTAACTCAGAAATCAGCCTGCTTCTGCCTTCCGAGAGCTGGAATTAAAGCCTGTCCCACCGTGCCCAGCCATATCTGGCTTTCTGTGTGGGTTCTGCAGTCTGACACAGGTCTTTATGCTTGAGTGGCCTTTTTCCCCAACCACAAGTTCATTTGTATTCCAGTTCTCTAGTAGAGATAGTCCCTCATTTCAACTCTGTGACACTGGATGTGGTCCCACAGAAGTCCTCTACGGTTTTAGCTTTCCCTTAGGTGTCCCTTAATCCTACCACATTCGGCATGCTCGCATCTGTGTCCCAAGAGAGCTGATTATGGAACTTTTCCAATTTTGATCAGTTATGGACTTGGTAACTTAGCTCTTAAGATGACATTCAAAAAACCATGATGTACCATCATACCAGAGTCCCCTCGGCACTCAGGCACAGAGCACCTCAGACCCACAGACCTCCCCTGCAGACAGCACAGCACGTTCCTGATCTAAAGCTAACTGGAATCTGTTCCAGACAGTCAGTACTCCCTGCCCTTGCTCTAAGTCTCCAGTAACTGGGGGGAGAGAGGGAACGGCCCAGGTTTGCCTTAGAAACTGCAGCTGGCTTTCTCAGTTCCTCACTGTAATACTCACAGGGTTGATAGAAGAGTCGGGGTTGATTTGCAGTGTGTAAATATTGTCCGTGGAATACTGGAAGAGTCCATAATACGGATTCAGCATTTCATGGCACAACAAATACAGCCACTCCCTGGAACAGTAACAACACCATGCACATGTGCTAACAGCATCACTCTCAGACTTTTTTTTTAAGGCGTGTGTGAATGTATATCCCATGCATGCAGTTCCCAAGCAGGCCAGAAGAGGGCATCAGATGCCCTGGAGCTCAAGTTACAGGAGGTTGTGAACTGCATTGTGGATGCTGGGAACCAAGGTCAGGTCCTTTTCGAGAGCAGGACATGCTCTTAACTGCTGACCACCTTTCCAGGGCCAGCTTATTTATTTATTTTTGATTCTTTCAAGATAGGGTTTTTCTGTCTAGTCCTGAGTGTGTATTGGAATTTCCCTCTGTAGACCAGGCTGGTCTACTCAGAGATCTGCCTCCCTCTGTCTCCCACGTGCCTGGATTAAAGGCACACACCACCACTGCCAGTTAGAGTTTCTAAGCATTCTATAATAAGAGTTTGGTAGGTGAACATTTCAAGCTCCAGGGAAACAAAGAATTTATGAACAACTATGCTCTTCTAACTGCCGGTTGATTTCTTACTGTAGACCATAAGCACAGAGCACTTTCATCTTCTACATTTTTTGTATTGTGTGCATGTGTGTGAGCGTGCGAAGGGCAGAGGTTGCCTCGTTGACTTCCTTAATTGCTCTCAGCTTATTTTTGGAGGCAGGCTGGCCAGCGAGCCCCAAGATCCTCCTATCTCACCTCCCAGCTCCAAGATTATGGCATAAGCCTGGTGCTGGGCTTTTAGTTGGGGTCTGAGGTTTGAACTTGGGTCCTCATGCTTTCAGGGCAAGCACTTTCCAGACTGAGCCAATTCCTCAGCCCATTCATCACTGTGCAACGTAAAGAAAACTTAGATGAATCTAAAAAATATTACAGAGGTTTTGGCAGGAATACATTGGTTAACTTAGTTTCTAAATTCCTTTAATGCTTAAAATCACTTTACTCTTTAAAAAAAGAAGAAAAAAAAAAGAAAAAAACTAAAACCAGCCAAACACAATAACCACTTCTGCTGGCAACTGAATTGGGGGAAGACACCCTACTGTGGGATGAGCTCAATCCAGAAGGCAGGGGCACAGCACCTTCAAATGGACAGACCTGGAGACAACAGGCTTAGATTTCAGTCTCTGACTCTTCAAACAGAAAGGAGGTAGGTCAGTTAGGAGAGGGTAGCACAGACCAAAGTCATCTGTGTGTCCATGAAAGGATGCAAGTATACAACAGACACACAGATGCATCCGACCAAAACAAGCTCGGGGCTCCCACCCGTACCTCTGTCAAGCATCCTTTAAGGACCAGGAACCTCCTAGCTGTGTCTAGCAGATGTGTGCTTCCCTGCTGCCTGTGCAATTCAGAGTACAAGAGACTGGAGCTGAGAGCACACAATGTGCACCTGCACCCACACCGAGGTCACTCCAGGTCCCCAGACCTGGTGACTAGTGAGGAAATGCAGTCCCTACCCAACACACAGGGGGTTGATGGGAGGCTCTCCAGCGAGAGGATTTAATTATGCCTTAGATGTATTCAATTCTTCGTTTTATACTTGATTACAGTGGAATTCAATAATTAGTGTGTTATATAGTAACTTAGAACAGCAGCCGGCTGCAGGCACTAGAAGATGAGGTGAGGAAACCCTGCAGAAAGCAGAGAAGGACAGAGATGGGAAATACTGTACAAGACTAGGCAGGAGCGGGAGGAGGGCTGCAAGCTCCTGCGCACAGCAGCTATTTCCAAAGCTGAGAGCTTGGCGTCAGAGCTGTTCTAGAACTGGGAATCTGGCCATGAACTAACCCAAGCTCCTCATCACACAGCTACTGTTAGGGGCACAGACAGAAGAAAAAGTACACCAAACAACTGTTCTGCAAGGGAGAAACCAAGAATGAGGAGGCTAGGGTGACAGTGTCTAGGGTCTGCTCCACAAACAGAGGAGGCTGATGCTGATGCCCAGGATGGTCCAGACAGAGCAGGTCTCTAAGGAGACTGCTGCAAAGTGCTGTCCTGGGGCTTCTTCAAGTTTATGGGGGCAAGGAAGACAATACCTGGTTTTAAATAGAAGCTAGGCATGGTGGTTCATATCTTTAATTCCAGGACTCAAGAGGCTGAGGCAGGAGGATTACTCTTGTTTTATATCAGTCTATGCTATGTAGTGAGTTCTGGGACAGGGAAATGAGAAGGAATAGGTAGGGAAGAGAAAAAAATAGAATGCAGAGACAAATTCTAAAGGGCTAAATAGTATCCATTGATTTAAACGTACAGGGCTGGATCGATGGCTCAGTGGTAAGAGCACTCGCTGCTCCTGCAGGCTACCTGGGTTTGAGTCCCAGCACCCATGTGGTAGCTCACAACCCACTAGAACTCCAGTCTCAGGGGAGTCCAATGCCCTCTTCTGGCCTCTGTGGGTACTGCATGCTCATGGTGCATGGCCACACATGCAGTCAGCCCACACATAAAGTGAAGTAAGTCTTTAAAAGAAAAGTTTCAGAGGTGCTTGAGTGGTAAACGCGGAGAACTGAAGGGAGCCCAGTCTGAGAGCAGAGGGGTAGCCCTCCCCGACTGCTGCTTGGAGTCCTTGTCTGTGACCTGGTTCCTAAATCAGGAGGTAGCAGCCTGAACTTGGCCACCTGAATGATACCAGATGCCCCTTAGAACAAACAGCAACAGTTAAGACACCTTGTCTCTAAACTGAAAATAAATGGGCAGGAAAGAGGCTTCTCACGGCTCATCTTAGATTTACTTTAACTATTCTAACCAGAATGGTGGCATTTTGTAAGATCCCCTGGAAACAACAAACACATGCATACAACAAATACATACCCAACACAGCTGCCTGTTTTAACTTCAGGAGCAGCCCTGGGAGTTTTGTTTTCAGACACATGAGATGAGGGAGTGTGAAAGTTTAATCCTGACTACGACAAATTAAAAAGTGGTGTCATACATTTTCTAACTGGTGATGTTATCGGGAGAAGCCTCGGTGCCCCGTGGAGATTCTGGCACAGTGGAGCAGGGTATGCTCCACTGTGACACTCGGGAAGTCGGCAGCTACCACCGCCTGCCACTCATGTGGGGAAGAGGGATGAATTAGCAACTCACCGAGCCACTCCACCATAGTCCAAACCTTCCTCCCCTCGGAACTTCACCATCAGGCGCTTCTTCAGGTCTTTTGGCCGCATCTTCATGATCTGGCGATAAGACTCCTACACATCAAAACCACAGGTTCACAAAAAAGTATTTCAGAGTGCAGAGGATGGAACCCAGGTACTGCAACATACTAAAAGTGCTGCAAGTGAACCACATCCCAGCCCCTCACTGGGGGATTCTAGGCAGGGGCTCTACCACTGAGCCACACCCCGGCCCCTCACTGGGGGATTCTAGGCAGGGGCTCTACCACTGAGCCACACCCTGGCCCCTCACTGGGGGATTCTAGGCAGGGGCTCTACCACTGAGCCACACCCCAGCCCCTCACTGGGGGATTCTAGGCAGGGGCTCTACCACTGAGCCACACCCCAGCCCCTCACTGGGGGAATCTAGGCAGGGGCTCTACCACTGAGCCACACCCCAGCCCCTCACTGGGGGATTCTAGGCAGGGGCTCTACCACTGAGCCACACCCCAGCCCCTCACTGGGGGATTCTAGGCAGGGGCTCTACCACTGAGCCACACCCTAGCCCCTCACTGGGGACTCACTTTTCTTCCTCTTCCCAGAAACAAGGCCAGGGCCAAATAGCCATGCACTGTCTCTGAGAAGGAAGTGCCCCAGCAGAAACTCTGAAGGAATGAGTGGGTGTGAGAAGCACCCGGAGGCTGAGGAATGAGCTACAAGCTTGAGGGTCAGCTGGGGTCCCAGTCCTGAGTCACCAGCTTCTGCAGAGAAAACCCCTGAGCACTGAAACCTGTTGTCAAGAGACAAAAACACAGTTCCTCTGAGCTTCAGCCTAGGTCCTGGCAAACCGTGCATCTCACTAACAGCAAAATTGATCCGTCAGGGGAGAAGAGTCTTTGCTAGCAATACTAATCGCATAAGACTCATATATTCACTACAGAGACTCCATGGAGACTCCATGTCACCAGTTAAGAAAACAGTAAGTACTGTGGAGAGTGTGGACAGAGGGATGCCTTACACAGCAGTGTGAGTGTAAAGTAGTCCAGCCACCACGGAAGTCAGTCTGGAGGTCTCTCAACAAACTACAGCTACATCTACAGCATGCCATGTATATACTTCAGAGCACCTAGTGGACTCTGTGATAAGTCATCACAGCTCATTCAATAGCTGTTATGGAGCCAACCTAGGTGTCTGACAACAGGGGAGTGGACAAAGAATGTGTGGTGTGGGTAGACACTGGGATTCTTGTATCCATAGAATCAAGCTCTATCTTTTGAAGGAAAATGGAAGCAAACGGAGATAATCACAGTGAGTTAAACCTGTTGTAGAAGACAAGTACTGTGCTGTGTCTCATAATCAAAATTCCTAAGTTTTATAGATACATAAAATCATATACATCTGTGGAAGCTTAGGAAAACACAAGGGGCTGTAAGGGGAGAGAGCGGAGGCTGGGGCTGGGAGAGAGGCAGAGCCAACAGGATGAAATGTTCCTGGGTAACACTATTTGTATAATAAATATCCACAATGAAATAAAAAAGATTTTTGAGACAAGGTCTCATTGTGTAGCCCTGGCTGTCCTAGAACTCACTATATAAAACAGGCTAGCCTCAGACTCATAGAGATCCACCTGCCCCTGGCTCCCTAGTACTGGGATAAAAACCAAGTGCTACTACACCCAGCTATAATAAAAATGAAACAACAGAAACATCAGGAAAACTGATCCTTCGAATACCAAGCAGAAAGCAGAGTCCACCAAGATGGCAAATGCAGCTCATTCAACACAAACCTCCCTACTGTTTCCCCAAGGGGCTATATTTAGAAAGACATAATTCTTTACCTCAAATATTTCTTCTCTGGAAACTTCTATGCGACAATGACCAGCTTGGGGCTGCTGAAGAGAGAGCTCATGTCTGAGAACTTTAAGCTTCTGGACTAAGTCTCTCTCATATCTCTGGGCAGGAAGCTCCTCGTCCTCCACGGAGCCCTCACTGGGCAACTGCAGCGGCTGGCTGGGCTCCTTGAGTTGGCACTGGTGACTGCAGAGAGGAGAGATGGCTGTCACTGGGCAGGCTAGAGAGTCGCAGGGGTGCTGCAGCACACACTGCTGGCAGCAGGCTCTGCTAATGACAGGGCTGCTCAGGTGAATGACAACAGCCCGGTGCAGGTCTTGGGTACAATAAAGAAGATGTCACTTATCTGCATGGTGGGTCATCCTGGTTGTCAACCTGACTACACCTAGAATGAACTAAACCCAAATGGCTGGACACACTGTGGGGTTTTGTTTCACCTTTTAATTAAGTCATTTGAAGTGGGGAAGACCCATTTCAAATCTGGATCTTTAAAGTGGGAAGATAAAAACTTTAATCCAGATCTTTTAAAGTGGGCAGACCCATCTTTAATCTGGCCACACCTTTGTTGGCAGTCTAGATGCAGGACATGGAAGAAGGAAGTTTGTTCTCTCTTTGCCTGCTTCCTCTCGTTCTGGCAAGTGTATTTCCTTCACTGGTATTGGAGTCTACTTCAGGATTCAAGAGCATACTGAGTATATACTGAGACAGCCGCATGGACAGAATAGACAGCCACCATTGGACTAGCTGTACCACAGCCTGTAAGTTTGTGAGTGTGTGAGTGTGTGTGTGCGCGCGTGTGTATTTCTATGACTTTTCTTCCTCTAATACAGTCTGCTCTATTATTACTGAACACCACAACAGAAACCGTCACCGTGTCATACATTTGCATGTGTCATCAGTACCAACTGATACACTATTGGAAGGGCCTATGAGAAGCGACTCCCCGTGACATCCAGTGGCACCCACTCTTCCTTTTCATCAAGATTCCAAGCCCAGTTCACTAAGAACAAAGACCAGGAACAGGACGTGGGCCACTAGGGACAATGTGGCATTTGCAGCATTGGAGTTGCCACTTATGCAAGCTGCACAGAGCTCTGTGTGAGGCTGCCTGTGGGTTACTGACTGTGGGCGACACAAAAGATCACACCCACTTCAAAGGCAGAAATGCCCAGCATAGAAAAACCCCAGCAAGAAGCAGCGGCAGCAGCAGTAGCAATGGCCCTTACAGAACGTGCTGTGAAGGCAGGTTTTGCTGGCAATCCCCTTCCTGCCATCATCTCAGAGCCCTTCACTCAGGCTGCCTGACAGAAAAGGGCACCAGCCTTAGTAATTAATGGTCATGCTAGTCTCCAGGTTTCAACGATGTCCCTGTCCATCACATCACACCTTATGTGCTGTGCCCACTTTCGAGCACACACCATAGTGGGTGTGTAAGGAAACGGTTAGTGTGGGGCTAAGGGATGGCTCAGGGAGCCAAGTGCTTGCTGTGCAAGCGAGCAAGCGAGCAAGCGAGCGATCATGAGGACTGGCATGCAGATCCCCTGCACCCAAGTGCTGGGGACAGAGCCAGAGAAGTCAAGTGAGTTCCAGGCCATGCTGCTCAAGACTTAGGGTAGACAGTGACAGAGGAAGGACTCACACTGGCGTATGGTCTCTGCACATATCCACAGCACTGCTGAGTTGTCACACCATCCCCACAAACACATGCACACGCACACATGCGTGCACCAATGCTGGTATAAGGAAGAAGCATCCAATTATAAAGAGGCCAGCAAGGATATTAAGGTCTTACTTCATGATGTGGTGAAGCCGTGGATCTGTAAACTGGGTGGTCCTATTATTGTGATCTACAAAATAGATTCTTCCCGACACTGTGCTTCTGACTTCCCAGCCTGGAGGTAGTGGCCCGAGTTCATCGCAGTTCACACTGTTAAGGTCTCTAGCAAAATGGAACATACAGAGAGCTTTATCCCACTGAGAACCAAGGAGCAAGACCAACCTCAGTGCTGGCAGCCACAGGGGTGTCCTAGAAAGGTCTCCATGTCCCCTCACACTGCAATTCGTGCTGACTCCACTAAGTCCAAGCCTCTGGCCTACCAACGGCAGCCACACATGGCAGGTAAAAGGCACACCTCTGGAGAGTCTATGTCCACCATGAGGAACAGGGGCTACCCCAGGAACATCGTTCCTTACACAACAGGGGGACAGACTAGAAGGAAGCACCTGACTTCTGTCAGCAAGCTCTTGGGAATCACAAATCAAACAAACCAGATACTTGCTGTAGCAAAGATTTCCTCTACTGAAAGTCCCATACTTTCCAGTCTTGTGGGGACAGAGCACATAATGGCATGACAGCCATAAGGCACCCCCATGTTCAGCAAGTGTTTTCACTCTGACCCCTTAATAACTTAACTTCGATCCAGTCAGCAGGGACCAGTATGCCTGCTCAAGACACTTTAGGGATTAACACAGACGCCTGTCATTTCTACGATGCATACCAAGAGGCGCCTCATTCATTTCCAGGTAATATTCCCAGGCAAATGACAGACCCTGATCTGTAAATTTAACACCAAAGGCGGGAAGCTGCTTGGGGGCTGGGGGATCCTAGTTGAATAAAAAGGAAAGGAGCATTACCCAAGGTCTCTTAGGCAGTAATGCTACTGTAAGAGGAAAGCAGAGAAAAGAAAAACAGCAAAGAAAGAAAGAAACTTAACTCTGGCACGGGGTGGGTGGGGCGGGCGGGGGTCTCTCTGACCTGGGCTCGGTTGTATGGCCTTGTAGAAGGAATTCGTATAGAAAAGCTTCATCTCCCCCCGGAATGGTCCCCAAGGGACTGAGGCAAGAGGGGCAGTAAAGCAGAAGAGAGAAAGGGTAACAGAGTCTTTATCTTTCCTGTTTAACTTTTTATCATGGAAAATTTTATGCATTTACAAAAAAGTCCAGAGAGACCACAGTAGATGGCCATGTGACCCATTTCAACAACTACGGAGGCCCACCGTATTTCCGGTCTTCCTCCCCTTCCCAATACACACACACACACACACACACACACACACACACACACGAAAAACACACACACACACACACACACACACACACACACACACACGCCCCTGTCCAGCAAGTCCCAGGGCACTGTTAGCTTCCATGAGAGGGGCTGGCTCTTCGGGCTGGGGAGACCTACCTGGGGATCCTGGGGTCGTGCCATGTGCTGACTCCAGTCTGTGTGTGCAAAAAGTAAACTTGTCCCTGCACTGTTGTCCTTTGCTCTGTAGGAGGAAGGGGCTTTGAGTGAGTGGCGTTAGTCTTCCACTCTAATCCTCCTTTCAGACTCTTAAGCTTTTATTTTAGTTTGCTTGCTTGCTTGCTTATTTATATTGGTGTTTTGACACAGGTCTTGTGATGTGCCCCAAACTGGCCTTGAACTCATGATTCTCCTGTCTCAGCATCCTCAGTGGTATAAAGTTGTGCACCGTGCCCTTGTCTTAGCATCCTCAGTGGTGTGACCACTGGTGTGCACACTGCCCCTGTCTCATCATCCTCAGTGGTATGACCGCTGGTGTGCACACTGTCCCTGGTTCTTTCAAAACTCTTTATGATCCCAGAAAAAAGAATTACAAGGCTGTGGCTGGCTTCCTCAACTCTATACTGTCCCCATATCTGGGCAGAACCCATTTCTCCTAGGCCTTGCCTCACTGAGCCACCCTGGAGTGTGGATCTACCCTTTCTACCACAGACACAACCTTTGAGTATCGTCTCCCAGTGTGCCTGCATCTGGGTGACCTGCTGATGTGAACGACAAACCTTCTCGGTCCTTCTCTCCACTGAAGCCACATGGCTCTGCTCACTCCATCCCCGTGATGTCCCTTCTCGTCTCACACCTCAGACCCCAGCCAGTCTCCTCGATTTCCTCATACTGCCTTATCTCTCTGGTATGCGTGAGAAAAGGGATGCCTGCCTCAGAGTTCATTACAACTTTCCCATCCATATGTGGCCCAGGTCATCCAATGCCACGGCCATGGAGGGCACAGCTAGGCCATTAGCAGCTGTGCACAGGACATAGGGGCACAGGGCACATCTCTTGCTGTCCTGACTGGTTTTCTGTTACTTGATAGAAGCTAGAGTTATTTGGGAAAACAGAGTCTTCACCAAGAAAACGCTTCCCTCAGACTGGCCTATAGGCAAGTCTGTGAGACACTTTATTGATTAGTTATTAATTTGGGATAGCCCAGCCCACTGGGCAGGTGGTCCCAGATGGCATAAAAAAGCAAGATGAGCCTGGGCATAGTAGCATATGTCTGTCCTTAGTGCCAGCCCTCAAGAGACAGAGGCAGACGGATCTCTGAGTTCAAGGCCAGACTGGTCTATAGAGTAAGTTCCAAACCAGTCAGGGCTTCAGACTGAGATCTGTCTCAAAAAAGCAAGCAGGCAAGCAGGCTGAGCAAGCAGTGGGCCACACTCCCCCATAGCCCCTGCTTCAATTCCGGCCTCCAGGTTCCTGCCTCCAGCTCCTACCCTGACTCCCCTCAGGGACACACTATAATGTATAAGCCTAATAAACCCTATTCTCCACAACCTACTTCTAGTCTTAGTGTTTACCATAGCCACAGGGAGGGAACTTTACACGCACCGTAACCTTCAGGCAGCTCCGGTGACTGGTGGCCATGTGGTCGGTTCTGGGGCGTCTGGAGGGACCCTCGAACCTCAGGATTTCGGAGTCGCTGTACCAGGAGTCTCTGATCTTGACTTGGAGACTCCACAAACCTGCAGTTCCCACCTCCCGCGGCTGCACCGGTACCATCTGTATACGGGGCAGGTTCCTCCATGAGGCAGCTGAGTGGCCTTCCAGGACCCGAGTCTTCATACACTGTTCTGGAAGGCACAGGGCAGAGCAGGCGTGGAAACATCATGCAAGTGTCACAAAACCCACACACGCCAAGGCCACATGCATTTGCTCTGCATCCCTTCACAAGTGACAGTGTTCCCACAGCAGAGTTTCACGACATTCAGAGGGTCTCCAAAGACCCCCCCAGGGTAGAGCTGCCTGATGGGGCAGAAGGGGTTCTTGACACTCCACCTTCTTTGTTATTTTACTCCAGGATGAAATTCTTGGTTCCATAAAATACTGACTCTTAAGTGCTTTTAGAGATTCTCTCCCTCTCTCAGAGCAGTGTGAGAAACAATTTGCCTTAATGAGTCACTTCCCCTTACCATCATATACTTTTTAAACCTCATATTGAAAAATTTCAATGCCTGCACCCACCATGAAGGACCAGAAGGCCTCTCCCAGAAAGCAGCAGGCAGTCACAGTGGGTGCCAGACTGCCCTCCACTCCTCCCCACCAAGGGGCGAGTCAGTCCAATCCCTGCATTTACTATTCTACCTGTAGGTGTTTTAGCATGGGCCACTTTGCTGTTGTTTTTAAAGTCAATGACTTTGCCATTATTGTTGCTGAACCAAAATAATAATAATAAAATCATCATCAAACACCAGTCAATGTTCAAATTTCTCTAATTATCTTATAAATCATGATTAAGACAAAGTCCATGGCCTGGGTCTCTGGGGAAGTGCTTCCCACACGAGCAAGGAGAACCTGACTCAAAGCCCAACCAGGGTGGTGGAGTGTGCTAACAATCAGCACAGAGGAAAAGGAGGCAAGTAATCCTGGGGCTTACTGGTTGGGCAACCTGGGTTAACTGGTGAGTCCTAAGCCAATGAAAGAGCCTGTCTAGAGAGCCCAGGTTGATGACTCCTAGGGAAGGACATTAAGGTTGACTTACACAAACACTGGCTGTTTCTTGGGCTTCTTTGTTTTTTTGTTTTTGTTCTTTTTATACCTCAGGCTGGCCCAGAACTCAGGATCCTTCTGCCTCTGTCTCCTTAGTGTTGACATTACAGGCATACACCATCGTTCCCAGCTAAACTGTCACCTCTAATTGGTAGGAGCTTCTCTGTGTTGGTTCCTGGGTTAATTACACCTTCCTTCATAAACTAGTATGGTAGCTTGGAGCAGTTCTATCCCACACAGCAGTATACAATTGACACTTCTTCCCTACAGGGCAAGAGAACATGGCCGGTACCGCAGTAGACACCACGGTAGATACCACGGTAGGCACCATGGCAGGCATCATGGCTAGCACCACTGTAGGTACCACAGTGGCACCATGACAGGCACCAGAATAGACACCGCAGCAGGCACCACGGCAGGCGTTATGGTAAGCATCATAGCTGGCATCACGCAGTGCCACCGTACGCATACGTACCCTTCGTTTTCCAGCAGTCCTCTGCAGTCCACCACCGACCCTCCACCGCCTATTCTGTCTCGGGTCTGTAAACTGACTACAACACAAAAGAAGAGCCTGCATTAACAACCCGGGCTGCTCTAGACCCCTGCAGCACAGTGAGCCACTGACACTCGGTAACATACATCCAGTATCATAAAAAGGAAGTAAGTTTACAGCCCTCCCCCACTGGTGTTTTCAGTGTGAAGCACCTCAGGCCAACAGCTGCACATACCACATAACCATTTGACCAGTCCTTGAAAGCAGAGCACAGGAAAGGTACTGAGTTTCTCATGCCCATCCCCATAAAACTGAACAACACAATATTTCATTCCAAGTTATTCCATCTTAAGAAGATTTGGTTTATGTCTAGTGAAGTTACCAACAAATACCTTCAATCTAAAAAACCCATTTATGTTCTAGTCTCACTGGTGGAGACAAGAAAGATGCTTTACTCCTAGACTTTCGGTTGTTTGGCTTCTGCCCTGACACATTCTCCCACAAAGAGAAGGAATCCCAAGTGGGACACAGTCATGAGACCTTTATCCTCAAACTGCTTCTGGGCAGATGCACCGCTCACTGTCGTGGGACCTGAGGCATCTGGAGTCTCAGAGACTGAGTCGGTGACTCAGTGGGGCTGCTGCCCCACTGACTCCGTGCAGAACACACAGCCAGCATGTGCTTTCCCCTAACACACTGCCAAGAACAGGGTGGGCTAGGGGACAGTGACTCAGAGAGGTCACTCCATCGGAATGCCTACAGGCAGTGCAGCAAGCACGCTTCAACCTTTCTCTCCACACAATGGGAGTCCTCTGACTGTGAGTCACGTTACACAAAACTTGTCTCACACTGTCTTTGTTTTTGCATTGGATGGGGCTTCCCAGAAAAGCCATACACTCCAGCTCCTGCCCATGTGGCCTCAGCTCTTATCACCCCCACCAAGACAAAGGTCAAGTGTCCACTCCTGTGCTGAGTAGCATAACACTTATAAACCACAACCTCCCATCTCCACTGGAGTCACAGTAACTCCGTTTCAATGACAGGATGAAGAGAACCAGAGAAAAGAGTGAAACCACACAAGAGGAGGGAAGGCTTAGTACTGGAGAGATGGCCCGATGCGCCTGCCCCGGAAGCCTGCCCCGTCAGCACTGGGAGCAGGACACGGGCTCCATCCAAGCCCCTTTACGCAGATGAGAAAATTCTTACCCACTATTTGGCCACGAACTGCATCAGTATCTGAGGGGTTTAGTTTGCATAGATCCAAACGCTGGTCTGCAAACAAACAATTCAAAACTTAACCCAAAAAAACGTTAACTAGGGAGGAAGGCAGGAATTCTGTATTCAGCATTCAAATAAAAGTAAGAAAAGGGTGCCTCCTAAGCCTTCTGTGGATGCACTGAGGGGCAGAGAGCATTTGGTTCTTACAGCCAGTATCCTTCAATCTGCTGATGGCGTTGGAGAGCAGGCGCACGCAGCCCAGGAAGCCAGCGCCCTGCTTCTTGTGGATCTTCTTGTGGTTCCACACACTGATGGTTATAGAGTCGGTTTTCCCAACGTACCTGTGAGAGCACACCACTTGTTCAGGTACCCATCTGAACTTCATTGTATCATTGCCCTCAACAACATGCATCTGGTTGACTCAGAACTCTAGCTGTGAGGGCAGAGCTGGCTCTATCTCACTAGGCATGAGTTACAGAAGCATCGAGTGCAAATAACCATGTGCAGGTAGCCATGTTGTAATAAGCATCTTTAAATTTATTTTTCCTTTATTCATCTAATTACTGTACTAAAGACTGAACCAAGGGTCTCACAGAGGCCAAAGCAAGCCCTCTGCCACTGAGCCACACTCTTGATCCCGCACTGGCAAGTGTTCTACCTGATGTGAAGAAAAACAGGCAGGTGTTCTAGACCTAAGCCACACACCCAATACCTAATCCCATCTCACCCTACTTCAAAAGAAAAACACAAATAAAAAACCCAAAAACAAAACAAACAAACAACAACAAAAAGCAACTTTTTTATTCTGAGATGGAGTTTAAGTTTCCCAGGCTAATGGTATGAAGCAATTTCCTTGGAATTGAAATACTCTACACCAGAAGGATACTTATTGAGATTTGGGAAATTCTAAAGGAATCTCACTAAAACACAGGAAGCAAGCAACTCACAAGTCTCAGGAAGTCCTGAAATTTACCAGATTCACCAGGTCTCTCCCTCCCACCCCTCCCAGAGCTATATGGTAGGGACTGCTGAGGAGAGAAGACTCTCTAAGCTACTGAGCTGCCTGCAAGTCCTACAGAGAACAGGGCCCAGCTTTTGGAGGGCTTTGCTGATGCTGGGGTGGGCTTTCAGAACTGCAGCTGCTCCTCTAAGTCTGCCCTCACCCGCACCCCTGTAAGCAAGCCCAGTGAGCTCATCAAGTCACTAAGTGGACTATTGTCATTACCTCAGTCTGTATCTATTTACATCTCCCCACATAAGAGCCAGATTGAATTGGCTCTGTAAACTAGGCAGGCCTTTGGCTTGTAATGCTCCTACCTCAGCCTCCCAAAGTGCCAGCACTACAGGCCTATACCACCAGCCCCAGTGCATGATAAGATCATTTAAAGAGATTGACTATGCTCTCACACTCTGGAAGGCCTTACAAAGAACACTGAGGCCACTTAAAATTTTACTGTCAATTCAAAATCCACAAAGGTACATGGGATAATAACCTTACTCAATCCTAGGGCACGTGCACAGAGAGAACTATCAGGACAAACAACAACTACATTCCAAGCCATGTGACGAAAATAACAAAATAAGTGCTACTAAAAAAACCCACCACGCCTATGCATGCAGCACGTTCATGTTAATAATCGTGCAGGGACATGTGTCCATGTAAAAACATGGCCCTAAATTTGGAATGAGTATACACAACTGGATGCTGGGTTGTTTTTTGGTTGTAAACATGGTTTCACTAAAACAAAACAATGTAGCACATTGGGGCAGGGATCATAGCTCCTGTTTGGTTGGTTGGTTTTCTGCTAACATGACAAGGGGGTTGACATGTCCAAGATCACAGTGACACTGTGGTAAGGACCAAATCATGAAAACCCATGAGAACAAATGCCAAGATATCCGAGGATGTTGACTGGGAAGTCTGCAACATGCGTTTGCTTTCTCAAGTCTTTGGTTTTCACTAAGTCAACCATCTTTTCTCTTTCTCTAAGTGTCTCCTCCAAGTCTGATAGCCGCTCTTCTGCAGCCCCAGGGCCTCACAGGGAGGGGTCTGACTCACAGGTCATAGTGCTGGTTCCACTTTGGGTCCAGGGTGTTTTTCACCGTGTCGGTTGAGTGGCACTGCCCGGAGCCGTCCACAACAATCTTGGCGAAGGGGTCAGGGAGTCCTGGGGAAAGAGCAGACATACCTGGATACAGTGACAGTCTACCTGGAGGCACAGTGGCTGCCTACAGGAGACAGTGGCAGATCGCCCCTTGGGATAAGGCCTGCACATGTCACGACTCACTGTCTCTCTTTGAAGGTTATCTCCATTAGTAAAGAGAGTTCTGACCCGCACATCACACCTTCACCCTTGGATAAGCAGAAAAGCATGAAAACAGGCTCAGATCCAAATGTCCGTCTCTGGCGAGTTTTACATTTTAAAAGTTGCTTTTGTTTATGTGTGTCTGTCTGTGTACATGTATGCACATGTGTGTGAGTACAAAGTGTATGTGTCTGTGTAAATGCACGCACAGTGTGTGGGTACTGCAAAGGCTTACAAGTGTCAGATTTCCTGGAGCTAGACTTGCAGGTGGTGACAAATACTGGACACACACACTGACTGCTCTGTCTGTCTGTTCAGCCAGCCTATCTCTGATCATCATTAAAGTGACTAAATGTAGAGACACGATCTATCAAGTAAATTTCTCAATAGTCACAGTCCCCAGAAACGTTACTGATCTTTGGCCTGTGTCAGCTGTGGCATGACAGCACCAGTCCCCAAGTCACATGTGAATGCAACAGGTTTGATGCCAGACAAGGAGCAAGGCAGGAGGCTTTGGAGAGAGACCAGGCTGTGAGCCACCACTTTGGAGTTTCCTGGCCACTTGGATAAAGTCTTTGGGCCTATGTCTCTTTATCCTGAAAGTGTAGATGATGCCACTTAGGCAGCAAGCCCATGGGATGGGGCCGTGGGGGTTTTCAGGGCTGGAGGCACTGACTTCACGGTGGGTGAGGCACATTCAGGGGTGCAGTCCTCAGCACTTTACAGTTCCGCCCTTGCAGACGTTTTAAAATGGAATTTATTTTGTAAAACTGGGTTGGCAATTTTAGCCATACCACTTACATCATAAATGCCTCGCTTGTTTTGGAGCAGAGAGCAGGGTCCTACTGGCTACCAGATCAGGAAGGGGGTGTGAACATGGCTGCAATGCGGAGAAACCCACGCTGTGGGCAGTTGGGAGATGCTGGTCAAGCTCTGGACTCCTAGACTCTTGAAAGCCTGCACACAATGGGGTTTTTCTGTTGTTGCTGTTGTTGTTGTTGTTTTGTTTGTTTTAGTTAAATGTCAGAGGCCAAAAAGATCTAAATTCAATCCCTGGTAGCAATATGGTGGGAGGGGAGAACTTCCTGCAAGTTGTCCTCTGACTTCACACGAATGCTATGGGAAACACACACACACACACACACACACACACACACACACACACGCGCACACACACACACACACTAATTTTCAGAAGTACATAAAGTGTATTATACAACGGGAAGCTGGGTGTACTTACTGAAGAAGTCTTTCTTTGCAAGGTTCTTGGCACACAGTACTGAAAACAAGCAGACACTGGAGTTAACACTGATAGAGTGACCGTCCCGCACACTTAGTGTTTGTAATGGGAGAGGAAAACAATCACAGAAGTTAGTGTGCCAACCATCTCTCAAACTGTGTCACGACAGACAAACACCCCTAGCAACTATCTAAAAGTATCTTTCCTCAATTTGGGGAATCAACAAATTTAAACACTGTAATTTAAGCCTAAAACATTAAATGCACAAACACAGGGATGAGATTACTGGGATGTTTTAAAGCTATATAAACACCAGCCTTTAAAAAGAGCTGGTGCATTTACCTTTACAGAGCTCCTAACAACAAAGGGAGCTCTGTACTCTGGGTATTCTGATAAATCACACAGAGTGATGGGGGGGGAGGGCTTTTGCAAGTATAAACTTTGGTACACTGGAGACTCAAAAACAGAAAAGAATAGTAGAAAATACAGAGCTTTTAGCTGAGTGTTGTGGGAAAAAGTAATAGGCTGCATATTCAGAGGTTGTACAGAGCCGGGCGGTGGTGGCACACGCCTTTAATCTTGGCACTCTGGAGGCAGAGGCAGGCAGATCTCTGTTTGAGGTCAGCCTGGTCTGTAGAGCCAATTCCAGGACAGCTAGGGCTACACAGAGAAACCCTGTCTCAAAAAACAAAACAAAACAACAACAACAAAATGCAGAAGGGAAGGAGGTGGCTGTAAAGGGCTGGCAAGAAGGCTCAGCAGGTAAAGGGGCTTTCCACCAAGCCTGATAACCTGAGTTCAATCACCAGGACCACAGATAGAGAGAACAAACTCCTGCAAATTGTGTGAGCTCCCCTGCACCATCCCTACATAAATAAATAATGTAACTTTAAAGAAGGTAAACAGTATTGGCAGACAGCAAGAATGTAACTGATAGTATCACCACCACCATCACCACCACCACCACCACCACCATCATCATCATCATGATCATCATCATCACCGTGAGGCCTCACACTTGTACTCACAGCCATCATGAAGTGAGGCAGGAAGACCATGAGTTCAAGGACAACCTGGGCTAGATAATGAGTTCCAGGCCAGCCTGAGCTCCACGGCCAGGCCCTGCCTCAGACAGACAGATGGACAGATGGATGATAGGTGAATAGATGATATATCTTGTCACACACCTGTCACACGGCGGGAGGGAGCACAGAGGAGAGACACAATGCCCTGTCCTGTTGGGCTGTTTCACCAGTTTTGCTGGTTTTCACGGATGTAGTGTTGGTTCTGTGCTCATGCTGCACTGTACACATTTTCACTTCGCTCTTAAAAACATCCGTAGGGACATCACCCACACACAACACAATTCCTCCACTTAAACAGCACATGACTGAGGGTTTCTTGTGCATTTGTGGGGCTACCTGTCACCACAATCAATTTTCGAGTGTTTTCATGGCCCCCAAAGAAGCGTGTTCCCATTTGCAGTCCTCTCCATCACCTCAAACTCTCCACCCCGAGGCAACAGCCTGTCTGTTCCTGGCTCTGATAATCTGCCTGATTCCAAGAACTTCTGATGGCTGGAACCACAAGTTGTATGGTAGCTGAAGGCTGATACTGTGTTAGCTGTGCAAACAGAAACTTGTCCCACGAACACTGAAAGCCCTGGGTTTGATCCCAGCACTAAGTACGTAAGCCAGGTGCAGATGCACACACCCATAATCTAGCACCCGGGAGGTGGAGGCAGGAGGATCAGGAGTTAAAGGTCATCCTCAGCTACACAGTGAGTTCCAGGAGAGCCTGGGCTACATAAGATTTTGTCAATAAATAAGTCTGCTCCAGTGGCTTCCCCTTTCACACTCTGAACGGAGCACACCGTGACCTCTAACTCCACATCTCTTGCCAAGGCTGGCCCCAGTTCTCCGAGGCACTGCAATCCAGAGACTTCTTAATGGAGTAATTCTGATCTCATTTTTTAAAAATAAGAATCATCATTCATATTCACAAAGCTACTGATGTTTTCATTTAGAGCTCATTCCAGTGGAATTTGGTTACATCATAAAGTGGTCTTGGCAATGTTAGTGTGAAGAAAACCTTGCCTGGATTTGTGTACAGGTCACTGAGGGGCACTAAAGTCTACTTTAAAGAGACAGAATTGCTTCTGCTAAAATAATGTTTGCCAATTTGCAATCTCCGTCCTCTCTTGATCCACTGCCTCCACAGGAAATACAGGATAACGGAAGTTCACTCTTCCTACAGTGCAAAATGCTACCGTACTGACAGTGGTAAAGGTCAGTACCTTTACCACAGGACAACCATGTTGCTCCAGCCTGCCTGGAACTTGGTATGGAGATCAGACTGACCTCCAACTCACAGAGATCCTTCTGCCCCATCCCCCACCCCGGGCTGGGATTAAATGATTTCACCACCATGCCTGGCTCTACCCCTTGTTAAACAAACCCGCTTATGCCCTAATTACATGTGGGGTTCTTGGGACATAGCAATGAGTAAAGGACATTTCCTCAGACTGGGGTTGGCAGAGCGCTTGTCTAGCATGCACAAAGCCTGGGTTTGATCCTCGAACTTCATAAGCCCTGGGTGGTACTGCAGGCCTGCAAAGGAAGCACGAGGAAGTAGAAGCAGAAGGATCAAGTGTTCAAAGTTACTCTTAACTATGTCATGAGATACAGGCCAGGTTGGGCTACAGGAGAACTGGTAATTTTAAAGTACAAAAGTAAAGACAAAGAAAAGCTAGGAAATGGACAGACAGACAACTCAGCTTCTTTTCCAGGGCCGCACAGTGCAGCACTGCGGTGCTGCCGGTCAGTTGTTTTGGTTTTCATGGAGACTGGGTGTCCAGTGGCCCAAGCTAGCTTTGAACCCATTATACAGCTGGGGGCAACTCTGGACTCTGGGGCCTCCCACTTTCACCTCCTCAATGCTGGAATTCCTACTCCCAGTTCCCACCGTTGCTTATTCTCCCCCTCCCCCACAGGTGTGCATCGCCAAGCAAGGCTTCCCACCAACTCACAACTGACCCTTGACCTTGGCCAAGTCCCGCTCCTGAATCCCATGGTTTCCTAAGACACTCCGCTGCTCTCCCAAGTAGTGGCCCTGGTAAGAGTAGTAACACCACATTCCCTGAGCCATAAAATCAGGAGAGCGTTCTTATGTACTCTGTGTGTGTGTGTGTGTGTGTATGCACACACACATGTGCAAAACACATGCAGAAGCCAGAGGCTAATGTCAGTGTTTTCTTCAATCCCTTAATTTTTTAAATGTTCATTAATCAGTGTGTATATATATTATTGTGTGTTTATGTGTGTGTTTACACACAGGTGTGCAAATCACAGCAAGTGTGTAAAGTTAGTTCTCTTTTCCACCCTTCCGTGAGATCTGGGAATCAAACTCATGTCATCTGGACTTGCAAGACAAGTACCTTCCCAATGAGCTATCTCACTGGATCCCTGGGTCTGCTGCTGTTGTTTGTCTGGTTTTTGACAGGGTTTCTCACTGAATCTACAGCTCAATACTTTGGCTGGACCAGGTAGCAGCAGCCCAAAGATCTGCCAACACCTTTCCATGTCCCCAGCCTGGTATTACATGTGTGTACCGCTGCATCAAGTTGTTCATGAGCATCACCAAATAGTCTCACCATGCAGGCCAGGCTGGCCTGGAACTATGTAACGTGTCTCATCATGAACTTGCCATCCTCCGGCCTCATTCCCCAGGCGCTAGGATTACAGGTATGTACCATCATGCCTGGCTGCAGGCCCACCTTGTGAAACATCACTTTCATGTTTCAATGATGCGTGTGTATTATTTCACACTGCACGCCAGACTTCTCCCTGTGTTCTGAGGTGTCCATCCGTCATGTTACATGTCTTCCCCCCTAGTCCTTATTCCCTACTCCTGGACACCCTAGAACTGAGTCTGGTTGCTCACATCAGTTGCTAGGAACTTCCCCCACAAAGCCTCACTGAGGACAGGAGTCCCACAGCGCCCTCAGTAACACTTTCATCAGCCCCAAAGAGCAGTCTAGACAAAACCCAACTAGTCTCTTAAACGGCTTTGCCACGTTCTGATCTTTGGCTTTTGTCATTTTTGTATCTTAAAACATTCTTTAATTAAATGAGACAACAAAACTCTGAGATCGTTAACTTCACACCCCAGCCATGCTGTGTGAATACGAACATTGACATACCCATCTTGACTGACCCGGTCACCTATTCTCTCCTAACCCCATTTTGAGAAGCACATGATTGAAGGGGCATGGTGGCACAGGCATGGTGTGGAGGCAGGAGGATCAAGAGTCATAGGCCTCCCTGGTCTGACATCTTGCCTCTAAAAGGAAAAAGAAAAAAGAACTACATGGCTTGAACATTCATAATATAGGTGGCCTTACTACCCCAGTGAGGTGGGGTTTTCCTGAAGTAAAAGGCATCTGTCCTTAGAATGGTCTAACTGGGCAACAGCTAGCACTCACTCACAGACAAGAGCAACAGTTACAGCACCAACTCACAGACTGGGCAACGGCTACAGCACACACAAACAGACAGGGGCAACAGCTACAGTACACACAAACAGGGGCTTGTGAAAAAGAAGCAAAAGGGGAGGGGGGAAGAAGAAAAAAAAAAAAAAAGAAAACAGTGCCAAAAACTCCCATTGCAAAGCTTACAACCTTTTCCTAAGGTTGTTAGAGAACATGGGATGTGGCTCAGGTGCTAGGGAGAGTGTGGGGTGCAGGGAGCCCTAGCTTCATCCCCAGCCCCACACTAGTCACCCATGCCTGTAATCCCAAACATGTAAGAGGGGGAGGCAGGAGGATTCTGAGTTTCAGGACAGCCTAGGTGACATGGTGAGTCCATGTCTCACAAATCAAAAAATAAATAGTCTTTAAGCGTCAGGGTGGGCTGGAGAGATGGCTCAGTGGTTAAGAGCACTGACGGCTCTTCCAGAGGTCCTGAGTTCAATTTCCAGCAGACACATGGTGGCTCAAAACCATCTGTAATGGGATCTGATGTCCTCTTTTGGTGTGTCTG